ACAATGTCTTCGTAGCCTTCGTCTTCCTCCTCCTATTCTAGTATAGTAGCCGAAGGGTGATCTTGATCAGGCTGTGCATAAGATTTCTCAAGATCATCGAGGCTCCTCTTAATGCTCAGGAGGATCTCCTCTGCTTCATGATAGGCCTGGTACAAAGATCCATCCTGGAGCATGATCTCTCACTATCTCGAGCAAACTGCTCCATGAGAAGCCTCAATTCATAGTTTGGATCTGGCTGTGGAGTGTAGCATGGCTGTGCAGAATGGCCTGTGAAGGCCGCCATGGGTAACTCCAGCTTTGATGGCCCTTCTGGTTGTGGGAGAAATTCTTCTTGGTAATGAGGTTGTTCTTGATATGCCCAGAGGTATGATTGTTCGTTGTAGTAAGGGGGTTGGTACTGGAACCCGAATCCATAGTCTTCTCCTCCTTGATTGCTCCAGGGAGTCTCGGGGTAATACCACTCGGATGGTGGTGGATACCCCCAATGGGTGGAGAAGCCATGAGGATCCATGATTCAGATCTGCACCAACAAAAACAAAAACACCCAAGTGAAAAGCAAGGGTGGAAAAGAAAAGAAAAATGCTAAAATAACAAACTTCTGCCTTTCCTAATAATCTAGAAAGTCCCCGGCAACGACGCCAAAAACTTGACTCGCTATGACACAACTCCTAACAATGGCCAAGTGCAACCAATGGAAGGGACTGCAGTATAGTGGCTCAAGTAATAAATATCGAATCCACGGGTCTCTGGAGTTACTATTACTCAGCTTCAGTTCATTATTTAGCAAACCGGATTAATAAGGAAGAACTAAAACTACTCTAGCAAACTACAGTTAAAGTTATTCTAATTACAGGTTGGGAACTCAGTTAGGAGTATTTACTAAAGTATGTACGGGTACATATACGTGTATGTGTATATGGAGTATTTTTTAACTAAGTTTTAAACAGTGTATTATAAACAGCTGCCAAAAATCTATAACGGCCTCATTCCAAAAATCTGCAACTATGGAAGTTAATGCTTCCTGCAAACTTTTTGGATCTTCGAGGGTGTATACTGTAGTAAATTCATCACCAAAATCTTTGGAATAACTAGCTCTTTTACTTATTCTTAGTTCATCCTCAGATTCAACACCCTAACTAGTTCTGTTATCTCTAATAGCAGGTAGTACATTACCCCCACTATTTCTCGTTTTAAATGGAAATCATGTCTCAAAGAATTCAGCATCAATGGATTCTATTATAGTACGAGCATTCAAATCATAGAATCTATATGCATTACTATTGGCCGCATAGCCAACAAAGACACATTCATATGCTCGACTAGCCAACCTAATCCTCTTTGGATTCGGAATTCTTACTTAGGACAAGCAACCCCACGTTCTTAAATAGGACAGATTAGGTGGCTTATTCTTCAAGATCTCATAGGGTGATTCTTTTATATTTGTTTTTGGAAGATGATTTAGCACGTAGCAAACCGTCAACAAAGTTGCTGGTTCTTACTCTTGAAACTTTCTGGTTATGTTTAAGAGCTCTAGGGGTGGATCATTTAGCACTGACGACCATCACCTCTTCTTTCATATCCTGCTTGCGTGACTCTTCCTCAATCCTTAGGCGAGTAATCAAGCTTTCTAGTGAAAATTCTTTAGTTTTATGTCTAAGCATATTCTTAAAATCTTTCCACGAAGGGGGCAGCTTATCAATAATGCAAGCAACTTGAAACTGATCGTCCAGAGGCATACCTTCATAGACGATCTCATGAGCTATTTTCTGAAGTTCTTGGGACTGAACTTCGATGGACTTATCATCCACCATCTGGTAGCGTAGGTAGCGCTCACAACATACATCTTAGCTCCAGCCTCCTCCGTGTCGTACTTCTTTTGGATTGCATACCATATCATCATTGCGGTGTTATTGTTGTTTGCATAGTAGTCATAGACGGGCGTGCTGGTGAGGCAGTGTGCCAACTTCTTGGTTTTTAGGTAGAACTCCATCTTTTATCTACAGCGACGGAAGTTGACTCCAATAAAGCGAAAGGTGCGATGGATATCGACAACACTAGACCCGGCCATGTTGTTTTGTTCAGTCGACATAGCAGCAGCCGAACGTCTTAAAATTGTTACGAACAGAACAACAACAAGAGAGAAGTTAGCGAATCTGGAACTGAGTCGCAGACTAGGTCGCTTTCTTTAAGACGTTCGAGGCATTGCACTCGATGCGCACGACAAACTATCAACCGGTCGTCTCCAGGATAAAATAACTCCTCTCTATACTCGTGGTTTTGTGCGAAAACTGGAGTTCTATGAACACTATATATTGTGTTTATGCTCGTATTGTGGTGTGTTTAGAGGGACTGGGGAGGAGGCTATTTATAGGATTCAAACCCCTAGGAATATATCCTCTTACTTGGGGAATAAGTCGGATTAATTAAGGAAGATAATTACTTCCTTAATTAAAACCCGGCTGTAAGATAATTCATGCGGGGTTATCCTTCGAATATTTCTTTCAATCGATTGTCCTCTTTCAACTCGTATTAATCAAGGATAAAGATTAGATTATTAATTTCGTTCAGAATTTCTTCAAAAATTTATAGTCTCAAGTGAACCAACGAACCGACCGACCGGTCGAACGGAAGGGAGGCGCGCGCGTGTGTGTGATGGTCCGTTAGGTCCTCCCTCTGTCACAAAAGTGGGTCACCTCAATGGGCATGCCCTTATGAGAGAGGCTCCTATCTTTATACACATTTCACCAAGTAAAACTACCAATGTGGTAGTTTTTCCACCTTGAGACTCTATAGCTTTCAAAGCTATTCATCATTCATCTCCAACAGGTCCAAAACGGAATCAATTTAGTGCCGCAAATCAGCGTTGGTAAGAGGGGAAAAGCAGATGGAAGCAAATCCCATCTATTTACGAACTGGGAATGAAAAACAGAGGAAAAGTAAGATCAAGACCAGCGTCTGGAGCAATCGACGGCGGTTTCGGGAAGATAATACGACGGTGGGGGAGAGGCAAGATGAGGGAACGATTGGCATGGAAGACCATTAAGTTTTCCAGATAACACAAAAAGAGGGAAAAGAAGTGATGGGTCTGAGTTCAGGTCCTTAAGCCCTCTTTCTTAAGGAGGATCTTAAAGCATTGTGATTGGCTTATTTGGGTTTAGGTAATTGGTGATGAGTTAGTAATTAGTGAGGAGTTATTAGTTGTAAAGGGTATGTTGGAAATAATGAATAATATAAAATCAGGATAATAAACCCTACTATTTTTGAAACCCACGTCCCAACCCGTCGGTTTTCTGCCTCTCTGCATAACAGGATACGCTCCTCGACAGCCGTCTCCACCGTCGGTGATTCTTTGTCTTTGTTTTCTGGCTGTCCATTCATCAACAGTGTTTGGCCGTCTCCGCCGTCGGCGCCACTGTTCGCCGAAAACCTAAAAACCAGTTGCCGTTTAGGGCGCGCTCTGTCCCAAGCGTTCGTTTCTGCCGTTGCTTCAGTCCCTCGTCTATCCCGTTCCGTCGTTGATCCCTGTTCAGGCACGGTCGTCTATCCCTTTTGTCCAAGGACCTGAACTATGTCCCGGTCGTCTATCCCATTCAGCCTGTCGTAGATCCATGCTCTCTCTTCGGCGGCGTTCAAGGTAATCTGCGTCGCCGACCAAAGATCCCGTTTAGTCCGCCATATTATTTCCTATATTAGAGTTTTGCGTGAGCTGCATAGGTCTAGGTATTGGGGTTGCATGGGGGTAGGTTTTGCATGACTTCGTGCTTCTCGTATATGTGTTTAGTCCATTTTTTATCAGTGCTTAGGGTGTTTCGTTTCAATGAAGATGGTCAATATTTTTTCCTAGTATGTTGAATTAACATTGAAGAGTTTTATCCTTGCGTTATTAATGTTTCTTCAACGAGTATTAACGTTTAAAAAAATATACATTATTAATCAGTAACGTGTTCCGTATTAACCTATTTTTGATAAATTAACGCGGCTCCGTATTAGCTTGCCGTTATTAATGTTTCTGCTGTGGGTATTAACGTTTCAAAAAATATACATTATTAATCAGTAATGTGCTCCGTATTAACCTGTTTTTTATAATTGTAAATATTTAAGACATATGTAATGTGCTCGTCAGCATTGTCAATCTCAGAGGCATGCATTCATAATATAAATACACCCGTTAGTAATAGTATGAAGGCCATTATCAGTGTGTTTATATATTCCATTATTAACGTACATTCATTCTTTATTAATAATATCAGCTTCAGTATCAATTTTTGTAATCTCATTATCAATTATTTATTGGAATTTTCTTACCCCGCATTTCTAAATAACATGTTTGCTATTGATCAATTTTCGCCAACGACCAGTACACAACATTATGAACTAAGTTTGGGACTTTGTGGAACGACATTATGTATGTTTTATTAACATTTTTCGTTTGTATTGTTGTTTGTTAGCGCATGAGTTATCAATATATTTATATGCAATTTGTAATATTTGCCAGTGGTCCACTCTATGGCACGTATAAATAATACAACGAGTAAAACTGCCCGCTTAGTATGACGAGAGAAAAGAAGAAGGCAGTTGCACCAAGACCTGACCACGCGATTATTATTAATTATCATATCACATTATTAACATTTCCACTCTAAGTTATTAACATCACCAACAAGTTCCCGACCACACGACTATTATTAATTATCATATCGCATTTATTAACCGCTCCCTACATCCCTATCATATTTATTTCTCAATTCTTATTCTAGGTGCCACCAAATGTTTACATTCTTAATATATCTACACCTGTTTTGTAATCATATGAAGGGCATTATCAATCTCTCTCTCTCTCTCTCTCTCTCTATATATATATATATATCCGAATTATTAACATATGAAGGACGTTTTTTAATAATAACCACTTCATTATCAATGTAACTACAACGCTATGACATATATTTCTCTTTTTTTTTTAGAAAATGGGACGCTAAAAGGGCGCCCCTGCCTGCTACTTATATAAAATGATTTTGGGCGATGCCCATTCTGTCATACAGGATCAAAAAGTTAAGACCCGAATATGAGATACCAAAATAGTGAGTTCCTAAAGTAAAAGATTGCGCCTTGTTGGCTAGGTAGTCAGCTGCTTTGTTGCACTCACGATATGAATGAGAGATCTTAACCTCCCAATTTCTTTGCATGAGCTCCCTGAATCTACGAGTGAGGTTATAACAGATGTTGCTCCGGTTATCTCTTGCTATCAATATGGTAATCGCCGTAGTGGAATCCAACCTGAGAGACACTTTCCTGTAACCACTGGTCCACGCCATTTCAAGTCCTGTGATAGCACCAACCATCTCTGCCCTCGTTATAGTGTAAGTTCCCAAGTTAGCTAAAAAGGCTCCTACGCATTTGCCCAAATGGTTACGCAGAAGGCCTCCTGCAGCTGCTATCGAAGTGGATTGCTGCACAGAACCGTCAGAGTTCACTGCTATCCAATCTTGTGGTGGTGACTGCCAAGCCAGCTCGTGTCTTTATTTTCCTGTCGCCTTGTTAAGGATATGTTTGTTGCTGTCTTGAGCTTGCTTGATGGTAGTCGTCCACCTCTGAATACGGTGTGCGAGAGTCGTGGCTTCTTGGTACTTATGCTCGGAAACCCATTCATTCTGCCTCTTCCACAGGTACCAGACAGCAACTCCGTACAGAAGCCCCATCATAGTGTTCCTTATGTTGGTTGTCATCCACTCTGCAAAATTAAGGCCGTGGTTCAGGGGCGCGTCAACAAGTCCAATTTTGTGCCATACCTGTTGAGCAATAGGGCAGTTTCGCAGAACATGTTCAGCGTCCTCCGGTGCTAGCTTGCATAAGTCACAAGTATCTCCTTGTCCTCCGGTGCTAGCTTGCATAAGTCACAAGTATCTCCTTCACAAAGCTTCCTGCGCTTCCGCTCGCAATTCATCATCAGACGATCATGCAAAGCCAGCCATAAGAAGTGGCGGATTCAGTTGGGCTCTTCCCACTTCCAGACACATTTCCAAGGCTGTTGTTTCTCCCTATCAACTTCTTGTTCTTTATCTCCATGAATCCAGTCTGCAGAAACTTTGTAGGCACTACTAAGCCTAAACCGGCCATCATTATCAAGTCCCCACATGGTGCTGTCGTCCCCCGAGTCTGGAAGTGGTGTATCGGTACCTGCAAGCAAGGATAGCATTGTGAGGGAGGTGTGGAGATAATTCTTGCCATTTCCACGTACCTGTTATATCTGTCATTTCAGCCACAGAAACGTCTCCCTGGATATGTGCTCCACCATCAATGATATGATCTTTGAATATTAAACCTTCATCGATCCGCTGATCGGTCCAGAACTGGATGTTTTTTTCATTTCTGACATCCCAAACGGTGCATTGCTTGACGATGGATAGGGCCTCAGCTATTCCTTTCCAAAGTCTGGAAACTCGATTGGTGCGAAAGGATAGGCTGCCATCCTCATTCTGATTCACTTACTTTCCGTGCATAACTCTCACCCACAAATTATTTTCGTTGTTCAGAAATAGCCAACCAAGCTTCATTAGGTAAGCGAAATTGAGGGCTCTAGCAGACCGTAGACCCAGCCCTCCTTCTTCCTTCGGTTGGCATATCGTTTCACAAGTAACAAGGTGAGGCTTGGCCTTGCCATTTTCTGCTCCCCAAATAAAGGTCCCGATCTTTTTGTCAATTAGATCACACACATGACAGGCTAAAACAGCAGTTTGCATAGTATAATTAGGGAGGACATTCAGAACTGAAATGGCTAAAGTGACTCTCCTTGCAAGGGAAGGATTCCTAGTTTTCCAGCTCGTAAGTCTTCTATCTATGTTCTCGAGGATATACTTGTAGGTTTCTTTTGTAACCCGACCATGAAGAACAGGCACCCCTAAGTACCTACCAAGATTATTAGTACGGGGGATACTCATGAAACTGCTTATTCTGTTTTGGGTATTGTCTTTAGTATTCCTCGAGAAATAGATACAAGAGTTATCCTTACCGATTTGTTCTCTAGAGGCGGAGCAGAATTGGTCCAGGCAGTCCATGATCCTCCGAGCTTGACCCATGTTAGCTTCCGCGAACAAGACCAGATCATCTTCAAAAAAACAAATGGGTTAGAGGCGGGCCATTCTTGGAGAGACTAACAGGATTCGAATCTCCACGATTCACAAATTGTTTTATATTATGGTTAAGACGTTCAATACAAAGAGTGAAGAGGTAGGGAGAGAGTGGGCATCCCTGTCTAAGGCCACTTGTCGGAGTGAATTCTTCTGTGGGACTACCATTCCAAAGAATCTGGAACTTAGTGGTGGTGATGCATGCCATAACAAGTGTAATATAGTCATCCGGTAGACCAGCGGCCTCAAGTGTATATCGTAGGAAGGTCCAGTTGAGGCGGTCATAGGCTTTAACCAAGTCTATTTTCAGCACCATAAGACCCTTTGATCCCATCTTCAAGTTCATAGTGTGTACTACCTCTTGAAGATTAGTAATATTGTCGGTAATATGGCGGTTCGGGACAAAAACTGGTCTGATTTTCGTCTACTAGCTTGGGCATAACAAATTTCAAGCAGTCCGCAAGGCACTTTGCCACTATCTTGTAGCTTACATTGCAGAGACCAATCGGGCGAAACTGAGCCATGTTCTTGGGGCTATCCACTTTGGACAGGAGAGTTAGTAGGGTAGCTATTACTAGCCTCACATAATCCGGATTTCGGAAAAGCTTGTGATGTATTGATAGAGGTCAACCTTGATTGTGTCATAGCAGCGATTGTAGAAGATAGCATGAAAGCCATCTTTACCCGGTGCTTTGAGACCGCCCATCGCCTTAATAATGAGCCTGACCTCTTCCATAATCGGAGCTACAGTCAGCCTGCATAAATCCGACTCATCAAGAATCTTAAAATCCGCAGGAAGTCCAGGTGGCACGCGCAATCATCAGTGTATAGCTCTACATAGAAGTCTCTAGCCATTTTCTGCACAATTTCAGGTTCTTCGACCCAAACTCCTGCATCATTTTGAAGTATGTGAATCTTGTTTCTACGTCGGCGAGCTAACGTTGATGAATGGAAGAACTTGGTGTTGTTGTCCCCAAAGTTGATCAAGTTAACCCAAGCTTTTTGTACCCAAAGGAGTTCCTTCTCCCAAAGAGTACGTTCTAACTCCTCCCGAACTCGAGCTTCTTCTTGCAACGTTCTAGGCGTCGAGTTCCCATCATTGAGGAGTTCCCACCGAGATAGCTGTTTGGTGAGGGATCTCTTTCACTTAAATATATTGCCAAATACTTCTTCAATCCACACCTTAAGAGTCTCTTGTAAGACCTGAAGCGCAACATGGAAAGCCTCTCCTTGTTACTAAGAGTCAACCAGAGCCTGCTGAAAGTTCTCATGGGACAACCAAGGAGCTAGAAATCGAAACGGTCTTTCCTTGCGAGGAATAGAAGTGGATATGGAGCTACAACTAGAATAGGTCGGTGGTCCGATTTCATCCGTGACAAGTGCATATAATAGGTGTCAGGGAAGCAGTCCAGCCAATCTCTATTGCAGAGAGCGCGGTCAAGACGTTGAGAAAGTTTTCCCCAAATCACCTTCTCAGCTTCTCTTCTTCCTTTCCATCATCTTTCTCCCTCTCTGCGATGTCTCTGAAGCTCAAGCCTTCAATGGCTCCACGGCAACCCATTGATAACAGGCCGACGACGGGAGAGGGAAAAGGACGGAAGCAGCGCCAGAAGCCGGGAGAAGTAGCTGATTGGTGATGTAACGCGACGGCAAGGGGGATAACGACGGGAAGGCAGCGGCGGAATCTGAGGAGAGTATCCGTTCGGCTCGGATAAGAGAAATAGATGTGGAGGAGGCCGGTTAATATGGTTAATTATATATTTAATTATTTATTATATTACTTATTATTTCCTAAATATTCTTATTAACTAATTAACTTATAACTTCTTATTAACTACTTAATACCCAACCAGCCAATAGAAATGTTTTAAGATCTTCCTTAAGGAATGAGGCTTAAGGACCTGAACTTAGCCCTATGCTCTCCAATAAGGATCCTTTTAAAATCTCCTTTTACAACGTACATGTCGTATTGCCTCCTTTTAAATCTTAGGGGTTTAACCAAACGATTAGTTCCCTTGTTACAAGAACCGATATGACCGACCAGCCAGTTGGACCGTTAGAATTGCCAACCAGTACAATAGCAGATCGATCTGTTTGTTTAAACGGTGAAAAATGAACCAAACAATTTTTTACGATTGTAAATGAACTGACTTAATTTGGTTGGTTCGTTGATTTATTGGTTTAAGCACAACAAAAATTTTAAGAAAACTCCATAAAAAAAAGTTTAAGAAAACAATATAAATTGAATTGAAACTAACCAATCCTAATTAAGAAAATTTATTTCTTCGTCCTTCGCCATTCTCCTTCTCGTGCTTAAATGGTATATTACTTAGTGTCATCCTAATTACTAATATGAATATAATGAATATTTTTATACGAGTTTTTTTTAGATAGTTGAAACTATTTGTTAGAACATAATTTGGACTTGGAATTGCTTTTGGTTAACGAAAGTTATAGTTAGTAAAATACGGTAGGGAAAGTTACGTGAAAAGTACGTATGGGTATTATACTTCGTCTCTAAACTAAAGTTGCGTTTAATAGTACGTTAATAGTCATAAATATATAAAATGAATCATTAAAAAAATATATAAATAATGGTAAAGTTAACAATTTAATTCGTAAAATACAGATAATAAACGTGTTATACGGGTTTTATACATGTTTAGTACGGGAGCCATAAAATGAACGAGAAAAAATGAAACGACTTGACAATAATATGAACACAGAAGTTTTAAACGAATAAAGTATGTACGGGTATATATACGTGTATGTGTATATGGAGTATTTACTAAGTTTTAAACAGTGTATTATAAAACAGCTACCAAAATTTTTAGGATTTTGCTACGGTGACATGCATGCCACTGTGACTTGGACTTTTCGGTCGACCTAATTCTCAAGGCGGTCGACCGAATTGACAAATTCAGTTATGTGAGGTTCAGAGAAGCGGTCGACCGTCTACATAAAATGGTCGACCTCTTTGGTGGTATAACAGAATGAAAGGTCGACCCAAATACCTCATAGGCCGACCCTTGTGCACCTATCAGGTCGACCTCATTAGTAAGAGGTCGACCGCATGCACACCGTATCCGTATTGGATAAGGATTCCAACAGCAGAAAGGTTCCACAATTGGACAAGAAAACGAATTGGGTCGAGTCGGTCGACCCATTCACGTCATAAATCTCTATAAATACGAAGAAAATGTGGATGAAGGAGAGAAGGGGACATGAGTAGGAACTCGAAGATTTTAGATTGTGTGTTTTTATTGTTAAGTGGTCAAACGATTGTTGATTGTTATTTTGTTGTTTTAGTCTTTTTTTATGTGTGAACAATTATGATTTCTGTTTTATTGTAT